TTGTGGACGGAGTGTCCTAATGTGTGCAGCTGAAGCCCCGGGAAGTCGCCGCCCGACCGGAGGGCATCGACGGGCAGTTCAGACATTACGTTGGCATATCGCTTTGACAGAGACACATTTCACAACAGAGATGAACGATGGGGGTCCGGTTGATTTAAGCTAACATTAGCCTCAGCTAGCAGGAACCATTGAACAGAGTTATGGAGACGCCGAGGAGACTCGACAACAAGCGGCTCTCAGCGGCTCCAGGCGGACTCACGGAGCGGACCGAGGGCTCGCTCTTGTCGGCGTGTCGGTGCGCTGCCCTCGGCACATTTGTTTCATTCATCAAAGTCGACGTAACGCAAGCGCAGTCCGTTTCCGCCCCCCCCTTGACGGTGTTACATTTAATGTTGTCAACATTTTGTCAATAGTTTCATTTTCATACCGTTTTTTTTAAAACGATACATTCTCGGTTATTTTAACGAACAGCACAACTGAAAATGATCAAAGCTTTAAAAAAAAAAAACTACATGTTTTTTTTTTTAAAGCTGCACTATAGTGGCAAATATTTACACTGTGATATATTTAATATCTGCAAGAAAATAGAGAAAGTCAAACCTGATAATAGCAGTTTTATGTAAATCTAAGGCTTGCATGCCATTAGAAAGTTGTACCATGTGTTATAACTTTGTTCAAGATGTTATAAGGAAATGAAGTGTGGGGTAAGTGAAGTATGAAAGAATGCATAATATTTACAGTTTTCGTCCTGTCAGCTGTTCTTCAGGTTTTCACAAAACCTGTTTGCAACACATCTCTCCTGAAGGCAAAAATCTTTTTATTTTTTTATTTTTTATCACTAAGTTGGTATTATTTCATCTGAGGGTAGCTGATAGTTTGCTTCAGCTTCTTATAACTGCATCAACATGTTTTTGAAGCATGACCATGACACCCGGGCCTCCATCTAAAAGGTTTATAATGCAAACATGAGTGAATAATAATAATGTCTTTAACTATAATATGATTTTTATTTATTGCTGTTAATTCAGAATTTTGCAATGTGTTTATTGGAGAAAGCTCATATTTCAATAATGATGCCATTGCGATCGATTGTGCACGAGACAGACGTGTAGGAGAGGCATGAATCCACAAAAATGACAAGGAAATTCCTGCACACGTTTTTATTTGCACATATACATTGGCAACATTGCAGTGCTGAAACATTTCCAATGTAATTGTGCAACTTAGACCGTGTGTAGGAATTTGGTTGCAGTTTTTGTTGATTAAAAACAAGAAATTTCCCAATATTAGCGCCTAGGACTTGTCTATTTTTGTTGATGTGGTGGTATGGAAAAAAGGTGTTGATTTTGTTCGATCTTTACTTGTATCATAGATGCATAAAATTATGGTGTAATGACAACTCTTGTTACACTGAACAGCCAACTGAAAACACTTTAAAAACTAAACTGCACACAGAGAGACGCAGGGTCTTCCTCATTTAAAGCTTTTAGCTGATCTTCGTGTCCCATCTGTTCCTGTGAGGATACAGCTGTAATTGCATTAACTTTCCTGTTTTGTTTACAACAGAAGAGTGATAGAATCCATTCATTTTAAATGATACATTAACAAGGATGATGTCTAACAGTTCAATAACATGATTGTTGACTCAATTGTTTAAAATATTTCCTCAGCAAAATTCCAACGATTCTTTAGATTAACTATCTGGTGTCCCATGCTTCTTTATTTTATAATTATTGATTAATTTAATTTAAATATTTGCTTTGCGTGTGTTAGCAATATGGAACATGGTTTTTGTACACCTACATTTACAGAAGGATACAGATATAGACAACGTACCAAAGAAAAGTAAGTAAGCATCAATGCGTCATTATTTAGGGTAGAGTTACACAGAAAGCACATTATAAACACAAAAACTAACTGGTTGCTGCATACTGTTTGTAGGTTAGGGCAATATGTGGATCGTCTTCAACATGCGAAAACAATTGGGATGTAAATATGACTACAAACTATTAAAGCAATGTAATTATGGTCTTTGACTCAGCAGATAGTTAAATAGACTGATGACAAATTATGGTGTTAAAAACAAATTGATTCAATTTTTAAGTAAAATGCAAAGCATTTATGCGATAAAGCAGTTGTCCTTTTTTCTTTAAACCTACAAGCAAATACCTCTATTTCACACACAAGACACGGGCCAGAGTCTTGGTTTTGGTATGAATAACAAAACTCCGCACACAGCCCTAATGTAGTCAGACATAATCAGCATACCAAATATGTTGGCAGATATTTGTGGGGCCAACAAAAGCCTTAGCTGTAACATGTGACACGATCTGCATTAGTGTTACACACTGATTCTTAGTCTATGTTGCTCTTACAGTAAGTGCATGAAGTAAATGCATTCTTGATTGATCAGCATTCACAGTGTTTGTTTTTGGTGGAAGTTAGATTCTTATTTTCAGTAAAAGAATCTCTTGGAAAAAAGCAGTCAGTGGTCTACTAGTAGAAATATTGCCATATATCATTCCTGTGAGGCAGCGTTGAGGGGGAAAGGCTGTAAATCATTAAAGCAAGTTGCTGCTACATTACATCAGTGACATTGTTTTTTTCCTTTGGTTTTTAGAGTCTTTCAAAATGAAGAAAAAGGGTCGGCATCACCGCCCGGCGGTGCTGAAGAGAGATTCTTCTCCAATCAAGCCTTCCCCCAACCGGGAGACGCTGACATATGCAGAGGCTCAGCGAATAGTGGAGCTGGAGGTGGACGGCCGTGTGCACCGGCTCAGCATCTACGACAAGCTGGACGTCATCAGTGATGACGACCCCACGGCTCAGGAGATCATGGAGTGCAACAGCAACAAGGAGAACAACGAGAAGCCCCAGCAGGTCCTGGTGCGCTCTGTGCGCCTCAAAAACAACCAGCAGAAGAAGAATGCAGCGCTCACTGCCGCACATGGTGGCATAGGCACACACGGCAATGCCAGTGGCCTGTTGGAGCCAAAGGTCAGAACGGTTGAATACAATCTGCCGGTGGTGCCAAAGAGGCCTGCGGCTTATTACAAATATATGGAGAGGACAGAAGAGGAGCTGGACGAGGAGGTGGAGTACGACATGGACGAGGAGGACTATGCCTGGCTGGAGCTAATCAACGAGAAGAGGAAGAGCGAGGGCGTCAGCCAGGTGTCACACAATCTGTTTGAGTTTCTCATGGACCGCTTTGAGAAGGAGTCGTATATGGCCACGCAGGGTCAGAGTGACCTGCAGTCACTGGTGGATGAGGACGCTGTCTGCTGCATCTGCATGGACGGAGATGGAGCTGACAGTAATGTTATCCTCTTCTGTGACTCGTGCAACATCGCCGTGCACCAGGAGTGCTACGGCGTGCCGTACATCCCAGAGGGCCAGTGGCTGTGCAGGCACTGCCTGCAGTGCCCGTCGCGACCAGCTGAGTGTGTCTTCTGTCCAAACCGAGGCGGAGCCCTGAAGAGGACCGATGATGACCGCTGGGGTCATGTAGCATGTGCTCTGTGGGTTCCAGAGGTCGGCTTCTCTGACACAGTTTTCATAGAGCCCATTGACGGTGTCCGTAATATCCCGCCGGCACGCTGGAAGCTCACCTGCTACCTTTGTAAGGAGAAAGGGGCAGGTGCTTGCATCCAGTGTGACAAGATCAACTGTTACACAGCCTTCCATGTCAGCTGCGCCCAGAAGGCTGGCCTTTACATGAAGATGGAGCCTGTCAAAGAGGTAACGTCGTCAGGTGCCTCAACCTTCTCTGTGAAGAAGACCTCATACTGCTGCAGCCACACGCCTGAAGGCTGCGACCGCCGACCGCTCAACATCTACGGCGAGCCACATCCGAAAAACGGAGCCTGCCACAAGAGGGCTGACAAGAGGGGGAGATCCCGGGCCAAGAGCTGGCAGAAGAAGAAGAGTAGGAGAGTGGAGCCTGAACCAGAACCAGAACCTGAGACACCTGCAAATGCTGGCCCCAGTATTACTGTTTCAAGGTACTGATTCAGATGACTGTTTCACTTCTAAGTACCGAATGAAACATATGAGTATGTATTGATTATTATGTGTTTTCTTTTTCTTTGTGGATCAGCTTTGACACCATTCTAAACCAGGTGGCGGTTCAGAGGAAGCGTCTCTTCGTCGAGCGGGTGTTTAGTTACTGGGTGCAGAAGAGGCAGTCAAGGAACAACGTGCCACTGATCCGCCGGCTACAGGCCACCCCTCAGCCGCCCAAAACCAAGCAGATGGTCAGTGCTGCTGCCACTCGCTGGATTCTGAAAGTAGCATTTGGTGTTTTAATATATTTCTTGCTGAATTGATATGTGTTTGTCTGCAGGAGCGCATGGAGACGAACCAGGCACTGAAAGAGCAGCTGAAGGAGTGGCACCGCCTCCGCCACGACCTGGAGCGAGCTCGCCTGCTGCTGGAGCTCATCAGGAAGAGAGAGAAGCTGAAGAGGGAGGAGGTAGAGTCACTTCATCATCTACTGCCCCGTTTTCTGTTCTCCATTTTAATTGATTTTAGAATGCTGATAGATTTAGCTTTCACTGTTATCGTCAAACAAACTCAAAATACAAAGACAGGAATTTTCAGTGAGTTGGATTTATAAATCAAAACAAATCTGATCCCGTTTCCGCGTGCTTAAAGCTTGTGTCAGTGTGTCCATACTGAGTATTGTGTTTTTCTGTCAGATGAAGCAGCAGCAGTCGGTGCTGGAGGTCCAGCTGACTCCGTTCAACATCCTGCTGAGAGCCGTGCTCAGTCAGCTGCAGGAGAAAGACCAGTACAGCATCTTCGCTCAGCCTGTCAGCGCCAAAGAGGTCTGTCCCTGTTAACATGAACAACCTTTGACGAAATCAGCTTCACTATCAATTGATGACAGTCTGTTTTCCTGGAGAATTATTTAATGCAGCTGAGACTTCCTGGTAAATGGGTAAACAGACTGACATATTCAGGAAGTGTTTTTAGATTTGCAGCGTTCTGAATACAGATAATTTGTTTTTGGAAAAAAGGTTTACTTCCAGTTATTGAATCGAACACCTGGATACTTTTAATAACAACAACTTCAAAACAGTTTCAAAGAATTTAAAAGTTTCACTTTACTGAAATCTGAATAAAATAACCTCTACTGATAAACAGTGGTAAAGATTTGTATTTTATTTTTTGAACACATTCTTAGCGTACTTACTGATGTCTTAGTCTGGTGCAGTTAGTTTTGGGATGTGATTGCGTCCTTAACCACAAATATGTGTGTATATATATATATATATATATGTATATATGCATGCATGTCCATGGGATCCTGTTTGTGCATGTGTGGCAAGTCTCAACAACAGAGGGTAAAAGTGAAGTGAAACATTCCGCCCCCTTTAACCGGGCTCCTCGTGTCTCCTGCAGGTTCCCGACTACCTGGACCACATCAAGAACCCCATGGACTACTCCACGATGAGGAAACGCATCGACTGCCACGAGTACGGGAGCTTCGACGAGTTCGAGGACGACTTCAACCTCATGATTGCTAACTGCTTGTCCTATAATTCCAAGGACACCTTTTTCTACAAGGCAGCTCAGCGGATGCAGGACCACGGAGGAGTGGTCCTCCGCAGAGCCCGCAGAGAGGTCGACAGAATCGGCTTTGACTTCCCCAGCGGGTTGCATCTGCCTGAAGCCCCAAAGCTGGAGCCTCTACCCCCGTTCTCCTGGGAGGATGGTAAGTCCACTGCTTACTAAGAAAGAGAAAATCTGATAACAATGCTGCAAGATGGACTGTTCAGTTCTGGTTCTACGCTCCGGTGTCCCACATGATGAACTACACACACAAAAAACCTTTTTGTGTGTGTACTAATGGTCGAAACATCTGCTTGAAAGTTGTACAGACTTCTTGAAAGTGGTTGGTAAATCATTTGTGCTAGTTTTTGAACGATCGCGTTCAAAAAAGATCAAAAAGCGCTTCTCAGATAAGAGCGTTTTGGTTTTGCATCATCATGAAACTGATTTTAAATAGACGATCAAATGTTAAGTGAAAGATCGGGAATTACTGTTTGAGATGTCTTCAACCGGGCCTAGTCTGCAGTTGAATTGTCATTTAACATAGATGCTTTGCAAGTAACTTTTGTCAAGTAAAAGCTGAGAGTTTAATATTTCAAAAAATAAAGTAGCTTAAATGTTACTTAACTTGGAGGCACAGAGTAAAGTGTGAGGGACAAATTTAAGCAAATATATCAACAATTGTGTAAGATGTTGAAGTGAAGAAGTTATACACAGTTGTGCTGGACATGACGTGTGACTTTCTCTCTCACAGTGGACCGTATTCTGAGCCCCGCGTACCGTCAGCGGACCCCTCTGGAGGATCAGCTGAAGGAGCTGCTGGAGAAGCTGGACCTGAGCACGGCCATGAAGCACAGCCCGTCCCGCAGCAAGAGGCTCAAGCTGCTTAAGAAGACCATCATGGAGGTCCGCAGCGAGATGAGTCTGAAGAAGTCCCGCCCGAAACCAGCGCCTCAGGAGACCAACTCAACCCCCCCGGAGTCAGAGGAGAAACCACTACCAGAGCTCCCCGCGGAAACTCCCACGCCACAGGAGGAGCCTTTACCTTCACCGACCTTTGAACTGTTAACCTCCCTGTCAGCGCTCGACACTTCGCCCAGCAACTCAGAGCCACCTCTGACATCCCTCAAACCCAGCGTTGACCACGTTCCCATGGAGCTGGACGACGACAGAGACACTTCTACCTCAGTGCTACCTTCGGAAACCCTGAATGGGCACATCCTAGAACCAGCGCTCCTCAACGGCGACCTTCACACCGAAGCCTCTGGTGACTGCAACCGACGGACCAACAGCCTGTTTCGCAGATCCAAGAGCACCAGCCCCCAGAAACCACCCAAGACCCAGGAGGCTACCGCTGCACCGGCGTCCCCCCTGGGTGCCAAAACCTTCCTGTCTGTGGTGATCCCTCGGCTGGAGACGCTCCTCCTGCCCAAGAAGAGGAAACATAGTTCCAGTGTCGACGGCGAGGAGGAAGAAGAGGAGTCGCCGATTAAACGCCTCGGCACAGGTACATACTCAGAACAGTAGTGTCTGTTTCTGAAACCTCAATCTCAGCAAGAAATGTCCACGTCAACAAAACAAACTTCATTGTTGTTTTTCTTCAGGTATAGCTAACGGTTTTGTGGTAGAGGAGGAGGAGGAAATCTCACCGTCCCCTCGTCTGCTGGAGCCTCGCCGGCGATGTGCCTCTGAGTCGAGCATTTCCTCCGGTGCAAGCGTCCCCTCCAGCACCAGGTGAGACCAGAAGGGAAGATTTAGAGCTGTGCACACTGCAGAGGATTTTGACTCCCTCTTTAAAAAAATCAAAATTATTTGCTGCAGCACTAAGCGGACATTGGTCATTTTTTACACCTGACATAAGATTTTTCCAACCCTGCAACTAAATGCTTTCCTCGCTTCCCTCATCTCTTTCAGCACCGTCACTGTGTCTAAAAGTGGTAAAGGGCGGCCGGCCGCAGCTAGACGGAGTACTGTGGACGACAAAAGCACTCTGATGACCTGCATCGAGAACGGCGAGTTTACCGCTTCTGCCGAGATCTCTACAGGTGATTGAAACATGTGACTCTTGTGTCGTCTACTGACCGTGCATGAAGCATTACAGACTGTTTAACGGCCGCAGGCTAAAGCGAACCACTGCAGCAATGAAAGGCTTACTTCCTGTCTATGAAGTGCAAACAAGCAAGAAAAGCAGGAACAGGAAACCTTTGATTGACAAGGTGGAAGTGAAGTCCGTTGTTTTCTCAGTGGGATCGGTGATTTAAAGTCTCTTCCTTTTTTAAAAAACCACTCCCATAAATTCTCAAGCTCAACCTGTCCTCCTATAAATATGTTCTTTTAAAGATCAGGCTGTATTTTATTTAGCAGCTAGTGTCTTTAAATGAAACGGCTCTGTCTGGTGGGCCGTTACAATCACTTAATTTCCTAGAGCCACAGACTGACGCTCAGGCTGAAGCTCTCTCACAGACTCGTCCTGCACTGTAAGGGGGTTTGAGGGAAATTGCTAAAGTATTGTTATTTCAAAATGTCATGTTTGTGCTCCTTCCTGGTTTCTCCAAAGTTACCAACCCAGCTTTAAAAAGTAGTCTGTGTGTGTCTTCAGCTCACCCTCTTGTTTGCCTGGCTGTGTTCTCACTGTGCTCTGTGTCTGTTGCAGTGAACACTTCATAACTTGCTCGTTGTTGTTTCTGTAGAGGTGTGGAAACCCTCCGCTGCTTCTCCATTTGTTCTGGAGCCTCTTAAACTAGTTTGGGCTAAATGTAGTGGATATCCCTCCTACCCCGCCCTGGTGAGTGAGTGTCAGTGCCCTCTGTTTCTCATCTACCATCTGCCCCTCTGCCATAGTGCGTGCCGTAGCTCGTGATTCGTGCTCACAGCCATGCAGCAGCTGCCAGCCAGCCAATGATGGACCGCTCAGTGTGTGTGTGTGTGTGTGTGTGTGTGTGTGAGAGTGTGTGTGTGTGTAGTTGGCCGCTTCGCTCAGAGCGTCACGGCACGACTCAGCCTTGCATGTTTGTGTCTCTGAGTGCGGGCTTCTTCTCTCCGGCTTCTCTCACTGCGAGGCGGCCCCTTCACTTAGTCTCTGCCTCTCTTTGTCTTTCTGCCCTTCACAGATCATGGATCCCAGAGCACGGAGGAGGACGCGTCTGCACCCCAACGGGGTGGAGCTTCCCCGGCCGCCGCAGGACGTCCTCAGAGCCGGAGAGCGGATGCAGTTCAGGTCCGCAGAGAAACTCTTCCTCGTCCACTTCTTCGACAGCAGGCGCAGCTGGTGAGGAGATCACCAACTCATGTTAGAAAAAGGAAGCTGCAGCGACATGCTTTTTGTAGCTCCTGCTTTTTTTAATCGATTGATCTAATCCAGAAAATTAATTCTAGATCAGAGGCCAAGAAATCACATCATCAAAAATCCATCGATCACCAAGTGTGTGATGTCTTTTTGTGTTTTCTATCATGGTGAGATCATCCCGTCATTGTTAAAAGCTCTCTCATGGTATAGGACTGTCATCCTCTGTGGAAAGTCCAACCAATCATCAGCATGTTGATAAGAGTCGGTGCAGATTGCATAGAAGGGGGTTGAAGATTGATTTTGTTGGAAGCAAAACAGTTTGGAAGTTGGAATTGACTCATGTACCTTTTTTATTTTGTCCGATTTTATTTTTTATTTTTTTATTTTTTTGTCCCAAATTGACGCAAGTAAAAAAAAAAAGATATACGATCTCATGTTATGCTGATCATGTTTACACACTGACTTGGAAACTTTCACCCGTGATTATTTTCTGTGGAAAAGGTTCAATTTTCTGCGTTTTTTGCATCGATCCCTTTGTCCATGTTTCTATAGTTTCTGTAGTTTTTTCCCCCTTTTAATAAAAGATCTGAAAAACGCATCCGAAAAAAAACTGACTCATGCAAACTCCTTTACCCAGAGCTCATCAGTCTGTGCACGGATTATCAACATCTTATAACTGTTGCACACTGACACTGCCTCCTCTCTCCTCAGGCAATGGCTTCCTAGATCCAAGATGGCTCCCTTCGGGATCAACCAGACGCTGGACAGAATGAAGCTGAAGGAGGCTCGCTGCTCCTCCATCCGAAAAGCTGTGCGGCTCGCCTTCGAACGAGCCATGGACCACCTGAACCGTGTTAGCAGTGAGCACGAGCTGAGCGGCGCCCTCGCAGTCACGGACTGAACTCTCCCTCCTACTCCTCCTACTCCTCCCATCATCCATCTCTCCTTCTTGTCCTTTCAGCCTTTTGTTTTGTTCACAGCCGAGACGCTCAGTTTTGCCTCTTACGCACAAAAACACACACACACACAAACAACACTTGTCATGTTTTACCATTTCCTGCTAACTGGATTCATGTCCCTCACATCGACCCTCCGTCTGAAATACTGTAGCTTGTGATGGCCATCTTGTTTTGTCAAAGAGCTATGCAACGTAAACGACTCGGTTAGCGGGTGCAAGGAGTCGTGAGAAAAATCACACCTGGGCTGTGAGGACGAGAAGTCTCGGGTCTAAACCAGTTTGAATGTGTCAGAGTTTGACCTCTGACCTCCTTTAATGTGCTGCAAGACTGCTGCGACAGTCCCACTGCACGGAGAAACACCCATCAGCGTGCAGCAGTGCGACTGCAGCAGCTCCTGTAAATATCTGTACAAGGCCTGACACTAATTT